CTTGCTCATCTGTAGTACACAAAACACTCACTTTAGCTGTCATCTACTGGCTGCCCCTCCCCCTCCCCTGAACTTTAGCTCTTCCAGTCTTCACAGCTTCTGGATTTTACAGAGAAGGGTTCCATCCAAGGTCACAGAGCTGCTAAGAGCTCTGACTTTAATCAGACACTCCCATGATAACCCAGCCAACAAGTCAGATGAAATCACTCAGGCCAAAGCAAAGAAGCATTTTGTTTGTTTGGTTTTGGTTTTGGTTTGTTGTTTGTTTGTTTTTTTTTAAGTACTTGGGGAGTTTTTTAAAATCCCAAAGGCCAGGCAGGGCGTCCCAAGCCAATTTGATCAGAATCCCTGGCGTGGGGCTCAGGCATTGGTATTTTTCAAACTTCTTCTGGTGATGCCAATGTTCAGCGGGAGTTAAAATCTCTGGTATAACCTGTGCAGGCTTGTTTTTAAATCCATACCTGAAGACATTCTTATTGATTTTGGAGAGAGGGGAATGGAGGAAGAGAAACATCAATCAATTGCCTCTTGAACGCCCCCCCTCACTGGGACCAAACCTGCAACTGAGGTGTGCCCTGACCGGGACTCAAACCTTTTGATTTACAGGACAATGTTCCAACCCACTGAGCCACATAGGCCAGGGCTAACCAGTGCTGTTTTTAAGGAAGATGAGAAAAACGCAATCCAGACTAGGAATGGGATTGATAAATGGTGATTGTTAATAACAGCTAACGGGGTGGCCACACTGTGCAATTCCAGGGGCCCCTTCTCATAGTTTAACCTACAGGAGTGAAGCCCTGGGTTGTGCAGTGTATACCCTGCCTTGCTGTACATGGCTGCCCTGGTAAACAGCACTTAAGAGTCCTTGACCCTGTGCTAGGCACTTGCCAAGCGCCTTGCAAGTATCACCTCCTTCATTCTGCAGCAATGTCAGGAAGGGTGCTGATCAAAAGCAGCTTACACACCTACTCAACTCCGCTGTTCCAGTGGAAAGGAGCCATAGGCAATATGTGAGTGGGCATGGCTGCGTGTTCCTAAAGGTTTGGTTCCAAAAGGTCCAAAGGCTGTAGTTTGCTGACTCCTGCCACAGAGGGTAGGTAAACTTGCCTAAAGCTAAGAAAAAGTAGGGCCAGATTCAATTCAGGTTCTAATGGCTACAACATACATACAATTAGCTTCATTTTGAATTTCTTTGACAACCAGTGAAGGTTATTCACTAGGCACTTTGTCCTCTTCCTCTCCCCTGCCAGCTCTTGGACATCCATCTTTTTTCATTTTGGAGATGACCTAATGCTCGCCTCACCTCATCTCGCCTCGCCTCGCCTCCCCTCTTTGCTCATCATGGCCATTCCCCCGGAGTCTCCCTCTCTCAGAACACCCCAGCAGCCTAAGACACCTGGCCAGAACAGCCCTGGGATCCCCCCCTACTCAGGAGGCCTAGGTGACCCCAGGAGAGCCCAGATTTTCTTGGCTTGCACAAGCACTCCATGGAGCAGCCTCTTTTTTCTAGCACCTGGTGGAGCTCTTCTGCACACAGGCCTCTTGATTAACAAAAGGCAGGAAGTCCGGCCCAGGAGCTCTCTAAGCCCTACCCCTGCCCCACCCCTACATCCACAGATCTCACAGGTGTTGTCTGCTAGAGTTCAGCACCCTAACTGGCAAAGGCGGTGGTTTTCCCAGCCTGCAGTTCTGGTCTGAAGAACCAACCACATCCTTGAGGATCCCTGTTCCAGCCACCACACAATCCTGGCCTCCGGAGAAACACCACCCCCTACAGTTCACTGCTCCTACTATTTTATTTAAAAAGGCCTGGAGCAGATCTTTGAGCCAGAGCTGGCCACTAATTGGACCTGGGCTGCAGGACTGGCTACGTAATTTGCAGGGCCCAGTGCGAAATGAAAATGGAGGGGCCCTCTTCTCCACAGAGGCTGAGTGACTGGGCCCCACCCGCGCGTTGGGTGTCTGGCCCCGGGGCGGTAAACCCATTGGCTAGCTGGTGAGCTATGGGGTTAAGATTCTCGGCCTGGCCCATCAGATGTTTTTCTGATGGGGTGTTCTGAGGCATTTAACGGGACCGACAGAGGCTGCCAATGAGTAATGAAAGAAATCAAAGTCAGATTTTTAAAAATTCTCCAAACCTGCTGACAGTTTTTTTTCCTCACACACAGCGAGAATGGCCTTTTTAAAACCGAATCAAATGCGATCTTTCCCAGACTTGAACCCACCCGTTCACCCTCACCCCACTCTCCTGGTCGCTCGCTCACGCCACTCCAGGCACACTGTGGCTTTTTGTTCCCTGAACAAACCAAGCTTGTTCAAGGTACATGAGTCACACATGCTGTTCCCTCTGCCCCACACAGCCTCCCTCCTCCTTCCAACCGTCAGATCTTAAATGTCACCTCCTCAGAGAGGCCCTCTCCCCCTGCACCTGGCTGAAGCAGGATTCTGCTGTTGGTCTCTATCCCAGCCCTCCTGCTTTCATGGCAGACTCCGGATGCAAGTTGCAATCACTTATTTTTGTTGTTCAGTGTACATGTTACTGTCTGCCTCCCTAGGAGATTATCAACCCTGTGAGAGCAGGAATCTTTCTTGCTTTGTTCACCTCTATATGTCCAGTGTCTACCACAATACCTGGAAAATTGTAGGAAACCAAACATATCGTAGAATGAGTGTTGGTTATCGTATACTTTCTCAATGGTCATTACTGTTAATGCAGGAGCACTTGGTTTTGTGCACTTACTTTGTATCTAGCCACATTATTACACTCATTAGTCCCAAATACTTTTCTGTTAATATGTGTGGGGATTCTGGGTAGATAGTAATATCTCATTTAAATATTAATTCTGCCCTCTCCTTTCCTAAAATTATACAACTCATTTCCATTTCCTGCCTTGTCGCTTTAGCTACATATTTACTGTTAGTTATTTTAAAGGTGGTGTGACTGATGAAAATTATGAAGCACTGGAAGGTTTGAGGCACAAGGGGACTAAGGGACAAACAGCCACAAAGCTGCATCAGGTCAGTGTGGCGTGATAAAGGCCTGGATGGGATCTAGCTGAGACTTACTCAGCTAAACGATTGGTGGGACTTGGTAATGGGAACAGGCATCATAAGAGGGGAGGGTTGTTCCCAAAACTAAAACCTGAATTAGAGTATTCCAATGCATTGATTCCAAGACAACCTAATCCCAAAGACAAAGAAAATATTCACATTTCTAAACGGGAGGATATTGCTATAGCTTACTGTTTATTATGTCAAATGCCCACTATTAACTAACTACTAAATACTACCACAATCATTTTTAAGGCCCCCAAAATTAGGAAGGATATATCCTGAAAACAAACAGCCTTATTAAAAAGAAGAAAGGAAATTCATTAGAATTCTCATTTTAGAAACAGTTTTGAGAATGTGAATTCAAGGAAAAAATTTTGCACGTATGTCTCAGTGCCCTGACACTTAACCTGGCTACATTTGAAATATCTTATAAAAATGAACACTTCTTCCAGTTAACACAGCACTTTTACAAATGTGGTCTCTGTAATCCTAAAAGCGCCCTGCAGTGGGTAACAATAGAAATGCCAAATGTGCATCTGGCATGCCACCATTCGCCAGGCACAGCCTTCCCTCTGATCCTACATGCCCTGGAATGTCACCTTGCAATTTACAACCCATCAAACCCTCTGCTGTTCCCTACCCCGCTGAGCTGTTACCCTCTTCCTGTTTTTTGCACAGACCCCCCTCCCTGTCTAGTTTACTTGGAGAACTCCTGTTTACCCAGAAAACCCCAGTCAGGCAGAGAATGGTTTTCATTCTCTTCCCGGTTCGGGCTGGGGAGAGAAGTGAGGGTCTGTTCAAAGGCAACATGGCGGTCCTTGAGAGGGGGAATGACCCTGGTGTGTGAAGTGGGGACACACCCCCTCAGTTGCCTCATGGAAACCAAATACCTTAAGGCACTGGTTCTCCAAGACCACCCTCTGTGAGCCTTGGTTTCCTCATCTGTACAACCTAAAAGTTCCTAGTATCAATTACCAAGAAATACTAATTGAGTGTCTACCACATACCAGACCGGGCACTGGCACCGAGCATATAGCAGAGGCTCAACCTCAGAAAAGCAGGACTCATGAAGGGGACAAAGCCAATCCCTAAATTTTCACTCTAATTCCTATAAGCAGCTAATGACCAGGCTGTGTTACCTTCCTGAGACTTTTTTTTTTTTTTAAAGAAATCTCTCTCTCCCTCTCCCCGCCTTTCTTTCTCTCTCTGCACTTGCTTTTGAACACTTCAAGGAACTGAAGCCAGCTTATAGAGGAGGGAGCCCTTCTGCCTGAATTTCAATACACCGACAAACTTCAAGCTACTATGGTGGAAGTGAGGCCATCAAGAGACCAGACATCTGCATTAAAGATGCCAACCACCCCTTTGTAATTAGAGACACAGCAGTCTCAGGACTTCTTTACTCTCCTCTTTGATCTGGAGAAAGAGAAAAGCTGGATATTTCCATGGAGGAATTTGGAATTATGGATAGGAAAGTTGAACAATAAGGAGTGACATTTTCTTTTAATTATAGCATCTACCCAAGTTATCTTTAACTAGTACATATTGCTCCTTTTAAATATCTATTCCTTTTCCTGGGCTCACTGAAAAATAGAAACTCAAGTGTAATCCCTTTCACAGGAGGTCAGTTGTTTTTTTTCAAAATCAGGCTGAAAACACTTGCACGTGTCACCCATTTTTTGTGACCCAGTAGCACCTTACCTCTCTATACCCCACTTTTCAAACATCATCTCCAGTCCTTACAATGACCCTGGGCACAGGTTCAATGATCTTCTTCTCACAATTGAGGAAACTAACGCTCAGAGAGTTGGCTAGTCTGCCCAGGGCTACACAGCATCACGTGGCCAAGGCTCCTCTAACACCAAAACCCTTGCCCTTCTACGGTGCCCACAGGGACCGGTGAGACTGTGGCTGACTCTGACCGGCTCCTCTGCCTATCTCTACAGCCTCCATGTACTCAGAGATCCAGAGAGAGCGGGCAGACATTGGTGGTCTGATGGCCCGGCCCGAGTACAGAGAGTGGAACCCGGAGCTCATCAAGCCCAAGAAGCTGCTGAACCCTGTGAAGGCCTCCCGGAGCCACCAGGAGCTGCACCGAGAGCTGCTCATGAACCACAGAAGGTGGGAACAGAGCTTGGCTCCCACAACATGGCAAGCACCTCCTCAGGCCTGCGGGGGTTTGAGGAGGTGCCCCTCGTGGAAGGCAGGCCTGGTGGCAATCCTGGGGCTCCTGGGAGCTTGAGGAGGGCTGGGGGTACCCCACATGGTCACCAGCAGAAAATGTGCTGGTCCAAAAGCTACCCACTTGGTGCCTGGCCTCCACATACATTTACTGAGCACCTTCTATGTGCCAGTTACTATGCCAGACCCTAGGGGTACAGAAGGAATGTTCCTGCCCTATCAGAGGGGATGGATGCACAACCAGGTGGTATGATGGGTGCTTTGATGGGGTATATTCCCAGCAGACATATGAGCATGTGCAAATGGACAGGAGCACCAGGTGCTCAGTGTGGCTGGGGTATAGATTGTGAGGTAGGTCAGAGGGGAAGGGTCACAAGCAGGATGTCACAATCCTGGAGGGAGCATGAGTGGAGCAGAGAGGCCAGGGGGCGCAGTGAGAGAGACAGGTCTGAGACGGCCCGGCTAGAATTCAGCAATTAAGGGAATGTGGACTAGTGGAGAGGGGGGCTGAGCCTCTGCCCACTCCAGGGCCTGGAAAATAGTCCCCACTCACCAGTGCCTGAACGGAGGTGGTGGCGTCTTCCCAGCTCCCTCTCCTGGCAGCGTCTAGTATTGACGCGGGCTGTGATTGTCCTCGTTTTCAGCTTCGTGCACAGGACCTTCCAGCAGATACATTTTATATCGTTGATATTGTTTGTTTGTTTTCTTCTTAGTATATCATGAGTATTTCTCCGGTTGCCTTTTAGAGTCATCACCACAATTTTTAAAAAGCCTAAAGACAATAGGGGGAAATATTTGCAATATAAATAACAGACAAAAATTAATATATACATACCTCTCATAAATCCATAAGGAAAAAATGAACAAAAGATGGGTATAGTTAGTTCACAAAGGAGGAAATGTGACTAGCTGGTAAATATCTCAAAGACTATTTGATGTGACTAATAATCAAAGAAACAAATGAAAACCAGTTGTTGTTTCTTGCCTACCAGATTCTCAAATACAAAAAAAATTGGATGGTGATGGTAGGGAGAAGTAGATACCCTTGTACAATGTTGACAGAAGTATAAATTGGATAACCTTTTTTAAGGGGCAGATGGAAATGTTTCCAAATCTTTTAAGAGTCTGACCCAATAGCCCCATCTCTAGAAACATACCCTGAGAAAATAACCTGAAATAACATAAAACCTGGTCTCTACAGTCAGACCGGCCTGGATGCAAACCCTCATTCAGCTCCTTCGTAGCCGTGACTTGAACAAGTATCTTAAGCCCTTAGGAGTCTCACTTCCCCAATCTGTATAATGGGACAGTAAGGATTCCACCCCCGGGGCTGCCAGGAGGGTTGTGCGAGATAATGGTGTAGGTTGGTGTCACTATAGGGTACAGCCCTGAGACTGGGCAGCAGGGAGTTGGGGTCTCCTGACGGCTCCCCCAACCCCAGGGGCCTGGGCGTGGACAGCAAGCCAGAGCTGCAGCGTGTCCTCGAGCACCGCAGGCGGAACCAGCTCATCAAGAAGAAGAAGGAGGAGCTGGAGGCCAAGCGGTTACAGTGCCCCTTTGAGCAGGAGCTGCTGAGACGGCAGCAGAGGCTGAACCAGGTGAGTGAGGGGCACCCAGCCCAGCCTATGCCTCCAGGAATGTCAGTTGGCCCAAGGAAGAGCTCTGCACGTGGGGGCAGTGGCTGGTTAAGCAAAATGAGGACTGGGCCATGAGTCCACCACTGGCCTGAGTCCACCACTGGCCTGAGTCCTCATTCTGCCACTCACTTCACTGTGTGACTTTGGACCAGTGGCTTCCCCTCTCTAAACCTGTTTCCTCATCAGCCCAATCTATTGTATGTTGTTTCTGATTTCATTCTCACAGCTGCCCTGTGAAACAGATGGCATTCCCATTTTAGAGATGAGGGACCTGAGACCCAGAAGAAGTAAGCAATTTGATCTAGGCTCCACAGGCAGAACTTAGTCTCAGGCTCTGTACCCCCACCTCCCAGGCTGGTGGCAAAACTGATCCCTGATTCTCTTTCCCCGGAGAGGACCCTTGGTCCAAACCCAGTGGCTTTTAAAACTTGGAATTCCCTAGTCCCGCCCACTTAACACCTCTCCTCTCTCCTTCAGCTGGAAAAACCACCAGAAAAGGAAGAGGACCACGCCCCCGAATTTATTAAAGTCAGGGAAAACCTGCGGAGAATTGCCACGCTGAGGAGTGAAGAGAGAGTGCTGTAGAGCTGGCTGGTGGAGCCACGGCACCCCCACAGCCTGCCCCTGGCCCCCACACCCTCCTCCAGCGCTTCTGTATCTGGCAGCCCTGGGCCCCCAGGCCTTGGGACATCTGTGATGTTCGCACTTGCTCCTGTAAAAATGCATTGTCCCAGAGGGCATGCCTATCCCCTCTCCACAAAGAAGGGGGTCTCTAAGACCCCAGGATTTTCCTTCTAAGCACCTACCCCTCCTGCTCCAAGAGGAAGCCACTACTGGGAAAATTTTCACAAGGCATCTCTCCCTGAGGGGGCTTCTGAGCCCCGCTGAGATTTCCCTGGCTGAGTGGGGAAGGGAGGATAGGGGCCTCCCTGGCCTGACAAGCCCTCCATTCTTCCCAGGCCCCCATGGGGCCCTGCTTCTCTGGGCAGACTGACTCCAGGTCTCAGAGAACTTCCCTGCCCTTGATTTTACCTGCAGCCAGGTGTGAAGCAACTAATCAGAGCATTTCGGGACACCTGCCTTGAAGGCCACCAGAGGGGAAAACAGTTCAAGTGCAGCTGTCCTTAGTGAGGAGGGGCACGCAGTGCAGCCTGCAGGTGGCTTTCTGGCTCACATCATGGTAGGTGGGACGGATACTAACAAAGACAGCTTCTTAGATTTTCCAGCCTTTCCGACACACCCTCTCCCCTCCACAGCCCTCCTTGTCCGGGCCTTGTAACCACACCTAGTGAGGCCGTCAGCCCTGCTGCTCCCAGATGTCTAGAACAGCGCCTCTCAAACTTCATCGTGCCTATGAATCACTGGGGATCTTGTTAAAATGCGGCTTCTGATTCAGTAAATCTGGGGTGGAGGCTGAGATTCTGCATTTCTAACAAGCTTCTAGAACCACATTAAGCCGCAAAGCTGAAGCATCCAGGGGTGCTAAATATTGGAAGCATCATCCCAGAAGCCATCTCTGCCCCCCAACTCCCATAGACCTGTGCCCTGGGGGTTCCCACCCACCTCTGCAGCCCTCAGGGTTCTTTATTATCCAGCCCACCCCAGGGACCCCAAGCCTAGCAAATTATGTCAGATATGTGACTGTGACTTTTACCAGAGAGGTATAAAACTGCCAATCTGCATTTCCTACCATACTGTTACGATGCAATGTAGCCAAAAATATTTTACTTTTTCCTAAAACCTATGGAGAGCAGATCTACAGTGTTTTCCAATAGGTTTCTGGAGATATAAACAGTGGATTGAAGACCCCACTATGACCCGTACAGACTAGCCCTTTGAGTCCCCATTTTCAGCCTCTGAACCTGAGACCCACCCCTACTTGGTTTTTATCGCCTGGGCCAGCTCCAGTGACTTTCAAAAACCCCTCCCATTCAAGACTAAATGTTTTCACCTTTTGCTCACATTTTTAAAGATTTAAAGAATAAATCGGGCCTGGGTTTTTTTTCCCCCCCTGAAGAATAAACCCTGCCTCCAGCTTTGTAAACCCACCATTGAAGGTGACTGAACAGGGCTGGGAAAGCATTTCTTTTCACTCCCAAAACTGCCAGAGAGAGCTGCCCCTGGGATGCTGTTTGATTCTTGACTAGTGGTGGGACCTGCACAAGGGAAGGGATCATCCTGGTCTTCCTCCAGACTGCATGGTTTGCGGCGGATCAGAGACATCCTTTTCCTATGCACAGTGCTGGTAGAGATGTAAATAGAGACCTGCTGCCTCAGAGAGAGAGAGAGAGAGAGAGAGAGAGAGAGTGTGTGTGTGTGTGTGTAAGTTGAGCTCTAAAAGGCTCTCAAAGGTGAGGGTGTAGTACCGCTGTTTTAAATGTCTGCTAGGTGAGATGATGCTCAGGATGTATTATTCTTCATAAAGACCACCACTTCCCCAAGGAAGCCACCTTGGAGGTCAATGTGTTGTTCAGACGTGTGAAGAGAAGCATGACAGTGTCTAAGCTGGAGCAGGCCCCTTAGCATTTCACTCAGGTTACCAGCCGTGCTTCATGGAGGTGGCAAGTCACAGAGGCAAAGCCCTAGAAGTAGAAGGGACTTCAAGTACCACTAATCCAGTGGAACCACAGCCGACACCCCTGCTCGTTCCCCAGTGGTCAGACCCAAACCTCTCCAGCAGCCTCCCACTGCAGAGGTTTGTACATCCAGATTCTCACTGTTCCAGCCTCCTTTGCAGCCTGGGGTGAGCATGTGACCAGGTATGGGCAATGAAATTGAAGAGAAAGTCTACAGAGACTTCTGGGAAAGCTTATGCTCTTCTGATAAGGGAGACAGGCAATAGGTAACAAACACCTCCATGTCCCTCCCTTCCTACCTTGATTAAGGATGTGATGCCTGGAGCCACAGCAGCCCTCTTGCTACAGTGAGAAAAAGGCCAAGAGGATCTCAGAGACATTGACTATCATCATTTGACCAAGCCAATGCCAGTAACCATGCTCCTCCAGGATTATTGTAAATAAAAATAAAGCTTCCTTTGTTTAAGCCATTGTTGGTCAGTCTCTATTACTTGCAGATAGAAACATTTCTGACACAGAAAGCCAGCCCTGCTACCCAGAATTATCTGCAGACTGTACTGAAAAGCCAGATTCCTCTCTCCCATCAGACACCTATTGGATCAAGGTCCGCAGCTGCAGTACCTGAGGTCTGTATCTCCATACCTTCTCCATATAGTCTACATGGCACCAATATGAAGAGTAGTATCCATATACTACTCTTCACTAATCACTCATCACTAATCACTACTAATCACTCATCACTAATTCCCACATCATTCAATATTTGTTGAGTGTCTCCTTGTGCTGGAAAGTATGCCATGTGCTGGGAGCACAGTGGAAAACAAAACATCTGGAAAATTGGAGTGGCCTCCTCCAAACTGGTCTTGTTTCTGCCACTGCCCCATACAGCCTGTTCTCAACAGAGCAGCCAAATGATCCTATTAAATCTAAGGCGGATCTTGCCATTCGGCTGCACAGAGCCCTCCACGGGCTCCCAGTGGAATCCTTCCTGCAACCTGGAAGGTCCTACATGTCTAGCTCCCTCTTCACCTCTGACCTTCCTACGCCCTCCCCGTGCCCTGGCTCATGCAGCCCCAGCCAGCCAAGCTCCTCACACCCACAAAGCATGTCCCACTTCAGTGCCTTTGCACCTGCTATTCCACGGCCAGGAATGTTCTTCCCTCAGAGGGCCGCACAGCCTGTTCCCTCACTTTTTCCAGGTCCTTTTCATGCTTTTGCTAAACGAGGTCCCCCTTAGTCACCCCATCTAAAATCTCAACATCTACACACTTCCTATGCCCTCCTCCTCTGCCTTATTTTCCCTCCTTACCAGTTATCACCATCCAACATATGTATTTTACTTACTGATTGTATGTCTCTGCTGACAATAATATTAGCACGATGAGGGCAGAGATTATTGTCTGTCTGATTCACTGCTGATTCCCAAGGGCCTTCCTCCCTCCTCCTTCCCGGCTGGCAGTTGGCTGGGCTCACATAAATCTAGCAAAGTGGGCCCCTGGGGCCAGAATCACCCGATCACCCCACTCCCAGCTTTAAGAAAAGGCGATGGCCAAGTAGGGCACAGGCATAGTAGGTGTTTAATAAATGTTTGTTGAATGAAGGAGAGGCCCTTTCTTCCCCTTCTCCAGCTCCTTCCCAGGTCCAGCCCCTCCCATCCCCCTCACCCATCTGCCTCCCTCCGCCACAGTTTGGACCCTGGCCCAAGATGTCAATTTGTTCCGGAAGCTCTCCTTTGGCTGTTTGGGCTTCTGCCAGTACACCTGGGCCCTAGAGGCATTTGTGCCTGCCAGAGCCACATCAGAGCTGCGTGGCCATCACCCAGTCCTGGAGACCTTGGAGAAGGAAGGGGCCGCTGTAGCTCCACCATCAGACCTGCCCAAATGGAGACCAGAAGCAGTGAGCCCTGTTCTCACAGAGGCCACATCCTCTCACACTCACCAGACCTCAAGTGCTGGTGTGGGTTTGGAGAGCACCTTCTTCAGTGGCACATCAGCACTAGACACAAAACCCAAGAGAGAGAGGGAAGACCGTAGGAGGTGAAGGCACCTCTCCCCCGTTCTGTAGTGTGTGCTCCTGGGGAGCCCTCAGTCCCAGAACCTTCTGCAGGGCAGCCTCACCACACTGGATAATTATACTAATTCCTGGGCCATGAGGAATTCCTGTCTGATTCCACTAGTCCTTACCAGTCCCAACCCAGGATTCTGCATATAGCAGGTGTTCAGAAAGGTTGTCAATAGGTGTCAGTAAAGATGACTGCATTTATGGAAGGCTAGTGATGTTACCACCCATGACAGGTCAATATCATCCCCATTTTGCAGATGAAGAAACCAAGCTCAGGTAAATTTAAATTAAGGGACATGATAACACCTGGGGAGAGATGAGATTCACACAGAGCCACCTATCTGCAAAGTCTGCCGGGACTTGCTCTTATAAAAGGCTCATCGGAGGCCACTGTGCCTTCCTGACCTTCTACCATGAGATCTGGGAACCTATTTCACCTTCCATTTGTCATTTGTCCATCTGAACTTGAGAAATTTGACCTCCACCTATAAAAACAGACTCAGGCCAATACAGACCTATGTGAGTCCTGGGACGAGGACCGGCTACGCATTGCCATGGCCCCACCCCTGATGTCATACCCCACTCCCAAAGCCACCAGTGCCTGGTCCAGCCAACAGGTTAGAATCTACCATCGCGGTGGCACTTCTGCCCCCTTGCAGGACTGCACCTGTGGCTGAGCAGTGGCCTAAATGATTTGATGTTTCAGTGCCCCCAAAGACCCACCCACCCCCACCCAACCTTGCTCCCACCAGGGCCTTTCCTTAGGGTGCCCCCTTCTGCTGGGCTTCACAAGCACAGAGCCCTCACCCGCCTGGTGGTTGATTGCCCTCATCTCAGCCTGTCGCAATTATTTGAGTTGAGGATCGCTGGCACTCGGAGAGGACACGGGGCTGGGCTTGTTTTCCAAAACTGGCCTAGTCAGGGGCCCTGGCAACTCTCCTGGGCAACAGCTGCCAGCCAATGTTCCCTTGTCCAAGGACAGGCCTCCCATGGGACCAGGGCACCCGAGCTCACCCTTTTGGGTGCTGGACTAAAATGCACATTCTCTCTGCAAGGTCACTGTCAGGCTTGTCCTATAAAGAGCGTTCATTCTGTGCACAGGCCTGGACTCAAGCCCCAGCCCTCCCGGTTGGTACTTGTGGCAAGCCTGGAAAAGGTGCTGGACCACATTTTCCAGATCTATGATAAAGGTAACACTATTGTCATTTATTGAACACTTAGAGTCTTGCCAGGGACTGGGCTAAATATATGAATTTTCTCATTTACTCCCCCAGGACTGTCATTACCTCCATTTTACAGGTGAATAATCCAAAATTTAGAGAGGCAAACCCCTGGATGCAGCCAGCAGGTGGCAGCAAAGAGAGGTGACCCCTAGTCTGCCTGGCACCCACACAGATACCCTGGCAGCACTGCTGGTGGGGGCGGGCAGGAGGATGTTTTGCAAAGCACCCACACTTAGGCTTTCCCATCTGTCCCTAAAACATTCTGCAAATATGCTCACGCCAAACAGTCTTCCTCCTTCCTCTTCCCAGCCCCCAGGCAGCCTAGCAGAATGGGCCCCAGGGACAAGACTCCCAGCCCCATCTCACTCACAGCTGTGAGAAAAGACAGTAGCCAAATACGACACAGGGGTCCATGAGCCTGCCCTTTGCCCAGGAAGTTCGGGAAGGGGCAGGAAGAAGAGCAACATGCATCAAGCACCTTCTATAGGTCTGGCAGGTCCTGAAACATGAGAAAATAAGAGTGCCTAGCCCAGGGCATGGCACATTTCAAGGGATGGAAGTTTCTTCTCCCTTATTCTGTCCCCACTCTAAGGATATCTTGATAGGTGGCGCAGCATGGCTGTTAATTGCCCAGGCTACAAAGTCCAATGGACATCAGATTTGGGGGTGCAGTGGAAGGTCCAGCTCTGCCACTCACGAGATGGGTGACCTTGGACAAGTTACTTAACATCTCTGAGTTTCTTGTTTGTTTGATAGTACCAGTATCTGGTTGTTCAGAGGACTGAATTAACAAACATAAAATGTTTGGCCAGTACCAGGCACATGGCCAGCACTCAATAAAAGTTAATTATCGTCTTCCCTTTTCTCAGTACTTTCACTGTCATATCTGTCACTGACCTGCCCTCAGAGTCCTATTTCCACTTGGTTATTTCTCTTAGTCCCTAAGCTTCTCTGACATCCATCCCTTTCTCATGGCTGGTCACCCCAAAGCCCTCTGTGCTTCTCTGTCAACACTTTGCGGGGAGATGCCACCCCATACTTTCTCACACCCCATATCTTCTCCATCCCCATATTACCTATTCCTTTTACTGTCATTTTAAAACAACTCCTGAGAATTTCTCTTCTCCCTTAATCCACCTAGGACCTCTCCAAACCCAAGGAAGCTGAGGGCCCGTGCACAGCCGGATCACTGTGGCTTCCTGCGACCTGTTTCTCCTCTGCTCCTGGGGCAGTTGGAACACTCTGCTTCCCAGCCCTCTCACCCTACAGCAGGGCCCTGTGATGAGTTTGGTCAGTGAAAGGAGAGCAGAAGTACGATGAGGGTCACTTCTGGGCTGCAGCAGTGAGAAGCCCCAGCAGGACCCTCCATCTCTCTTTTCCCCTTGGCAGCAAATGCAGCTTTTGGATAAGATGGAGGAGCCACAAAATCAAAGCAGCCTGGCTCGCTAAGTCCCCACGCAAAGGAGAGCTGTCCTCCACTGTTGCCACACTGGCAGAAGACTAGGCATGAGAAAGAAGTAAACTTGTGTTTAGCCATTCAGATCTGGGGGTGGTTCATGGCTGCAGCACAGTCTAACCCATGCTGCCTAATACGTGATACAAGCTAAAGCCGCAGAAGTCTGTGGTATTCCTACCTTGGCGTGCACAGCTAGAAAAAAGGGTACTCAAAATAATGTTTTAGTCAAGTAAGTCAATGACATGGGTGCTAATTTAACTCAAACTGTAATGTATTCCAACAAAATTATTAAAGCACTAATAGGAATAAAAGACACTACAGGGAAAAAATGGACACAAATGTGGTCCTATGAGTTGGGAAGATGGGCTGATGTTGTGAAGTCTGTATATTAATTTAAGGAAATTGTCATCTTTACTGGATCTTAAGTCCCCAGGAGATACTGAGACTTTGACAAATAGCGCAACTGTATTCATCAGGACTCTTTTGGTGGCAAATAAAAGAAATCCAACTCAAACTGAATTTAGAAGAAAAGGAAGCCCTGACCAGGTGGTTCAGTTGGTTGGAGCACGGTCCTGTGCACCAAAAGGTTGCGGGTTAGATCCTAGGACAGGGAGCGTGCTACCAATCGAAGTTTCTCCCTGCTCCCCCACCCCCCACCTGCCTCTTCCTCTCTCTCTAAAGTGAATACATATATCCTCACGAGGATTTTTTTTAAATACTTAAAAA